GTCGTCAAAAGTCCTCTCACAAGACAAAGACTACTTCGCTAACCTTGCCGTTGACGCAGTCCTCCGCCTGAAGGTGCGCGTTGCATACAGTGGACAGAACGACAATCCTCACCGCGTCTGTTGTGTAGGGCTCAACGGACCTCGACCACATACAAATCATCAAGAAGGTTGGCGAGAAGCTGACTGACTCGTATCTCGACGAAGGTATGACCGTCTCCGCTCGCAATGGACAAAACGTCATACCGTGTGCATAGGGTTTATTCTCGACAAGACAATCGGCATCAACTGCCCAAAACGGCTTGAGAACGCCAAGATTCTCATTGCCAACACCTGTGCGTATTCACGTCCACCTTTCCCTCGCCGCATAGCTAAAAGCGACGCGCAAACAGCCATGGACACGGACAAGATCAAGATCTTCGGAGCGCGTGTGAAGGTGGATAGCACCGGAAAGCTCGCTGAGCTCGAGCGTGCGGAACGGGTATGTTCTCACCCACGCCTTCTTCTCCGGATCCCGAGCACCCCACTTACATTTCGATGCGCACGTTACACAGGAAAAGATGAAGGCGAAGGTAGACGCGATCGCCGGGCACGGCATCAACTGCTTCGTTAACCGGCAGCTCATCTACAACTACCCCGAGTCGCTTCTCGCGGAGAAGGGCGTCCTCACGATCGAGCATGCAGACTTTGAAGGGGTGGAGCGGCTGTCGCTCGTCACGGGCGGTGAGATCGTGAGCACCTTTGACCGTCCGGACTTGGTCAAGCTGGGCCGGTGCGAGTTGATCGAGGAGATTATGATCGGCGAGGACAAAGTAAGTGCTTTGACACAAATGTTCATGGGTATTTAACAGACAGTCGTGCAGCTCACGAAGTTCTCTGGCGTCGCCGCAGGAGAGGCGTGTACGGTCGTTCTCCGTGGTTCGACATCGCAGATGGTCGACGAAGCGGAGCGCTCCCTTCATGACGCGCTCTCAGTGCTCTCGCAAACCGTCAAGGAGACACGGACCGTGCTCGGCGGCGGGTGCGCGGAGATGCTCATGAGCGTGGCGATCGATGGTGCCGCGCGTACCGTCACGGGCAAGAAGGCGCTCGCGGCGGAGGCGTTCGCCCGTGCGCTCAGGCAGATCCCGACCATCCTAGCCGACAATGGGGGGTACGACTCGAGTGACCTTGTGACTAAGCTCAGGGCGGCGCACTATGAAGGGCGGACGGATGCCGGCCTCGGTACGTATGCAGTTACTGGTTGTGATGTGGAGAGACTAATATTGGGGCAGACATGAACGAGGGCAGGGTTGGGTCGATGAAGGAGCTGGGCGTCACAGAGAGCTACAAGCTGAAGAGGCAGGTCGTGCTCAGCGCGAGCGAGGCTGCCGAGATGATTCTCCGGTGAGTCTGAATCTCCGCACAGGATCCTCGGGTGAGTGTTAACACACGATCGTAGCGTCGACGACATTCTTCGGGCGACGCCTCGGAGACGCGAAGCAGTATGAGCATGAAAAGAGGACGGTGGGGCGTGTTGCTGCCCTTTGCAATTGACGGCATTATCACTAAAAGTTGTACACATACAAGGCGGGCTAATCCTAATAGACCGTGCGTGCTGCTTGTTCGCTACGGCCGGAACCCACAAACACCAAGGTGGTCGCTTCTGGGTAGTCTTGATTCCGAATTCCTCGAGAGCTATACAATCACTGACATAGAACAGTGAACACAACACGAATCGACGACGCCTAAAGTCGGAGTTGTGCTAGCCGGTCCAGGTTGTACTTACCCAGACAGGAACCCAACACCCGCAGAATACGCGTGTGTTGCTGGGCATTCGGTGCAAGTTCGGTGTATACTACACCCCGGCGCTGCTCAAGGCGTCGGCTCACCCACTTCCTGAGCGCGGGCTTGGGACTTGTACGCGTGCGTGTGTGGTCCACGCGATGTTCAAATCGGCCCCATCGAATCGCAGGTCCTCCTCCGATGTGTAATCTCTGTCGGATTAGCTGTGGTTGGCCGACGTATGTACATGCTTGCTACATGAGTAGCTCCTTCTCACCGCTACTTCTTCTGTCAGTCCGGCGCTCAGAAGCCATTATGAAACAGCGGATGCTAACACTATTTTGACATTTGTGATGGAGACTACGTACATAATCGCCGTTGCACAATTAGCGGCCTGCGGGTCCAGTTACTTATAAGTGGTCCTTTCACACTTGACCACGAGCATCGTCACGGTGTCAGTGCACAATGTCTACTGTTCTACTCCTCGCTTTAACAGTTTCCGTGATCACCTACATCGCATGGGCTCGCCTGAGTCGACATCGTGTACGACTTCCACCGGGGCCTTCGCGTCTACCTTTTGTGGGTAGTGTTCACCACCTTCCCTTGGAGTACCAACACAAGAAGTTTATCGAACTCGCTAGGACGTATGGTACGTCACTACTGAATACTATCATCGGTGCGGTATCCACTGAACCACCTCTCCAGGCGATGTCATATTCCTTCAGTTATTCAACCGCCCGACCGTGGTTCTCAACTCTTTGGACGCCGCCCAAGACCTGCTCGAGAAGAGGAGCAGCAAGTATTCCGACCGCCCTCGCTTCACTCTGACCGCAATGTGCGTCTACATATCGTCCGCATCATACTGTGTCGCTATCGAACTAACTCTGGACACGTGCGTAGGATGGGCTTTGACCTAGCTATGAGCATCATGCCCTACGGCGAACAGTGGCGGCGCCATCGCAGGTGGTTCGCCGCCGCATTCGTCGACAAGAAGCTGGAAAGCTACGTCCCCATCCAACGACGCGAGACGCACAAGCTCCTCGTCGGCCTGCTGGAGTCGCCGGATGCGTTCCTCGCGCTCATCAAGCGGTGAGTAGAACTTACTATTGACCGTATCCGCATCTACCACGCCGTGCTCAACGTGAGCGCTGATGGAATGCTGTCGCACAGGTACGTCGGCGCGCTGATGATGGAGGTTGCGTACGGCCACGAAGTCACGTCGCTCGACGACGAGATCGTCGTGCTGGCCGACGAAGCTGTAGGCGCTACGACAGAGTCCGGGAGTCCGGCCGCCACGCTCATCGACTTCGTGCCGATCCGTACGTGTTCCAACTGCCTTTCGCTGATGATCACGGCTCACTGGCGTTGGGCACGCAGTGCAATGGATTCCCGCGTGGCTGCCCGGAGGACGCTGGAAGACACGCGCGGCGGAGGTGCGCCGGATGGTGCGGAGGACGAGCGACGTCCCCTTTTCGCGTGTGCAAGCTGCCATCGTGAGCGATTTGCCTGTCTCTAATACGCTAGCCGTCCCCTCACATGCGTTGTCTCAAGGCCGCAGGCACGGCACGGCCATGCTTCTTGCGGTCGCTGCTGGAAGAGGAGGGCGAGACATCGGGGGAAGGGCTTGAGGAGATTAAGGCCGCCGCTAACCTCGTCTACGGCGGTGAGTGCCCGAGTGTAGGTACTGCGAGTGCTGTTGATTTTAATGCTCGTGCGCAGCGGGAACGGATACGGTATGCGCTCCGAGTTGACGTGACGCGTGTCCATAGTATCTATAACTTATGTCCAAGCGGATCTCTCGTAGACAATCACCGCGCTCAACGCGTTCGTGCTCGCGATGGTCCTCCACCCCGACGCGTGCAAGAAGGCCCAGGAAGAGATCGACCGCGTCGTCGGTGACGCGCGGTTGCCCGACTTTGGAGATCGTGCTTCTCTGCCATACGTCGAGGCCCTCGAATTCAAGGAGGTGTACCGGTGCGTGGTGCTAGCTGGGATGTCGGAAATGCCGCCGAATCTTCTGATCGGCTGCGTTCATTTTGTCATGGCACTGGCAGGTGGATCCCACCTGTGCCTCTCGGTACGTGGTACATATTCTTAGCATCTTTAGCATACTCAAGGTAGATTTCCACAGGACTTCCTCACCGCCTCACGGAGGACGACAACTATGGCTCCTACACGATCCCCAAAGGATCGATGATGATCCCAAACGTCTGGTACGTCCTTCCGTCTTCTCACTTCCCCGTCCACTAGTTCTGACCGTGGCGCACTGTGTCGCGTCGCTACCGGCAGGGGCATGACGCGCAACGCCGACATGTACCCCGACCCGGAGAGCTTCCGGCCAGAACGCTTCCTCGAGATGGACGCCGCGACCGCCGCCGACCCGCGGAACATGGCCTTTGGCTTCGGCCGCCGGTAAGCCCGCATTTTCTTGTGGGTACCATCCTCAGAGGCTCACCGTGCCTTCGGCGCCCCGGACAGGATCTGCCCGGGCAAGGATTTCGCCGACAGCAGCGTATGGCTCGCGGCTGCTAACATCCTCGCCGCGTTCGACATCCGCAAGGCGCGCGATGAGGCGGGGAGGGAGGTCACGCCCGTGCCGGCGTTCGCTTCAGGAATGATCAGGTGCGTTTGGCGGGTGCGGCGGCACGCTCTGGTAGCAGGACGGCGCTGATGTGTGTCTTGCAGCCATGTTCGCCCATTCGTGTGTGATATCCGGCCGCGCTCCCGGAAGGCGGCGAGGATGGTTGAGCAGCTTGAAGCTACCGCTTGATCTTGTGTTGTGTTGAAGTTGTTGTGGGGTTTGCTCTCTTCGTGCTCTCAAAGGTTCATTCGAATGATGTGCGTGGCTGGCTTCAAATTGGTGGTCAACGAAGGCAAGCGCATCCACTCGCAATCCGATCATGGCACAAAGCCCGATGACACGACAGAATGACACTCACCTCTGAAGTACTGTGCTCCAGCGTGAGGATCGTCGACGAGTCATAGAGGTGCTTGGGTCAGCTTCACAATGATCGCGCATGAGCGTGAGCAGCATAGCAAGCATCATTGTGGGCAGGACACGTCGCGGGTGAGGGGCGGGCGCGGTGAAACTTGCAGATCGTCCGAGTCGGCAACCCGGACGCGCAGACACAAGGTGCACATAGTCAGGAAGCCACAGAGTTCGTCAACACATGTTCTGATACCACACCATATCATACGATTACAGCATAACAGACTCATAAACTGGGCCACACCATCAACACACCGCATACAGGCCACGAGCTGGACTCGCGTCTGCATATCAAGCCTAGCTGACTCGACTCTCGCATTGAGAGTGTAGCAGGATGTGTCCCTGCTGATCCGGAATCACTTCCGAAGGGGCCGTACACACTTCGCCCCAGGTGTATTACGCACCTGCGAGTCGTTTCGACTCGCTCACCGAGCCCAAATCGGGCTGGGCTCCCGCAGCGGGAGCGGCGCGGGACGACGGTCCCGCGCGAAGCGATAGCTTCAGGTTCGTTCCGAACGCGAATCATGGTTCACCTCATCGCTGCGTCAGTCGTCCGCGGGCCCGTCGACCTCGGGCTGGGCCGCGCGCAGCGGCGTGTAGAGCGCGTGCTGGTCGCCGAGGCCGTACGTGAGCGTCATGCGCGCGAAGACGGAGGGCACGTCCTCGGGGCTGAGCTCGAGCTGCGGGGATCTGAGTGAGCTGAGATTCAGGAGAGGACGGGGCAGCGTACCAGGGAGATGACGTCGTCGAGGAGGTGCGCCTGGCCGACGGTCATCCCGAGCAGGCCCTGGTACTCGACGTGCACGATGTGCACGTGGAACTGATCTGCGGCGCGGCGTCAGCGGGGCACGACGGGCAGGGCGGGGCACGCACAGTAGCTCGGCTGGTAGTGCACGAACATCCGGAGGGCGCCGCGCTCGAGGGCCCACCGCTCGGCGACGACCCTGCGCGCCTCGCGGCGGATGCTGCGGAGCATGGGGAGGTGCGCGCGGGCGAGGTCGCGCAGGCTGCGGAGCGCGGGCGACGCGGCGATGGCGACGAGGTAGAGCGCGCCGAGCGTGGCGAGGTCCCACTTCATGTCGGGGAGGAGGACGTACGCGGCGTCGCGGTGGAGGACCTTGTCGGCCTCGGAACGGCCGTCGAGGATGTCCTGGACCCTGGGTGGAGGTCAGTGTGTACGTGAGGGATAGAAGGGAGGACGCGCCATTTGGTGCGGGACGCGGGGAAGGCGTCGATGTACGGCTTGACGATGCGCTCGTAGAGGGCGGGCGTCTCGTGGACGATGAGGTACTTCTGGGCAGTGTACTACGCGCAGTGTGTCGGTCAGCGTAGCAGGGCACAGGCAAGGACACGGACCTTGCGGATGTGGACGTCGGTCGCGGGACAGATGATGTTGATCTTGACGTCCGGGCGGGCAGCGGAGGGCGCGAGCCAGCCAAGCAGCCAGGTATACTGCGCGAAGGATGAGCGCGCGATGCAGGTCGTGAGTGTCGAGCAGACGCACTATGTCGTTGCGCTCGATCAGGCGGACGTCGGCGACGGCGCTCTCGAGGAGCGTCGTTGGCTCGTCGATGGGGAGAGCCGCGCGCTCGATGCGGACGATGGCGGTGTTGCGAGCACCCGCCGCTGGAAACGAGCCGAGGAGGGCAATCGTCTGGGTTGCAGCATCTGCGGAAGAGAGTCAGTACTACGGGTTTTGCGGTCGATGTCGACAGCGACGGACCATGGCTAAGAACGCGGTCGAACGCGAACAGCCGGAGGGCCGCGATGTCGCCGAGTGCGGAAGCCATGGAGTGTTTGGGGAGATGTTGGGGAGAAGAGAAGTATTGAGGATGGGCTGAGCAGGGACGAGTATGTACTCGCACTCAGAGCAATCGATGTGGCGTGGGCGACCGACTGAACAGAGCCGCATACCAAATGAACACTTCTGATATCTCCTCATACCAACCCTACGTATACAGTACTAGTATGTATCATCAAGCTCGTGTCGAGCCAACATGCAACCGAATCTGTCCGTTCAGGAACTCTACACGATGTGGGCGCATAGTCCTATATGCCCACACTGCCTTTGAATGCCTCGTAACAACGCAGAACTGCCTGCCTGTTGTCCAGGGGCTTCATGCCTTCACTGTAACGTCCGGCGGGACTAGGGAGCTCTGGGACATGCACCGAAACTGTGGTGGGTTTCGACGGGTACGCGCCGTAATGCACGTCGCGCACAAGACCCGCGGTGACCGGGATCTTGTAGAACGTAGGCATCGTACCGAGTAGGGCGATGCCCGCCATGACCTACTTGGCGAGTGAGTAATGAAGTGGATCAAATGATCATGGGCATACCTTTGAATCGACGGTCGCCTGTCCTGTTGCTTGCCGCAGAGAATTGTTGTAGTCAAACGCGGCGATCGCTTTCGCAACCAGCTGAGGACCAGGATCGCGCGGGTGCTCCGGCTGAGAGCGCTCGTCTTCCTGGACGAGGAGCAAGATATCGTTTTGTTGACGATCGAGGAGACAAACGTCCGTCTCTGCGTGCGTCCATTCGCCACAGACATAGAACGGGATGTCCTTCCGAGTGCGCGCGATTCTGTGGCGTTTAACGTAGCCAAGGTGCTTGAGCAGCTCGACGGCAAAGTCGTCGACGGCGGAGTCCTCGGCTGACATAGAGCTCATGGCCAGATCGAGCAGATTGATGAGCTCGGCGTTGCGGTCGAAGTACATGTCTTGTGCGTTCTGGGTAGTCAAGATCTCCTGGTCGACGTTGGGCGGGGGCATCGTGTGGTCTCCGAAGAAGCTCGCCGCGGATTCCAGTCGCATTTGAATATTGTAGGCTGCCAGGTCGTTGCCAGTCCAGTCACTGCCGGCCTTTGGGGAGCGGATGAGGTTCGCCATGAAGGATGTATGCCGGTCGACTTCGAGTGGAACCCCTGAATGGAGTCGGCTTCCAGCATTCGGACAAAAATAGTGAATAAATATGTGCCCAAAATGTCCGGAAAACATTTGGCCTGTCCGAAGAGTTGCATGATTCAGAATTGTCCGAACTTTTCCTTAGGGCTCTACGGCGGATCCGACATGCATACAAGACTCTGCTCTCTCGAAGGGCGGTCGTCGTGTGAATGCTGTGCACGAGAGCATCTGGGCTAAGTACCGAGGATGCTCAGGCTAATGTGCGTGGGCGGGGATTGCCAGTGAGATGTGATCGGCGTCGAGTGCGATCGACTCGGAGCTGGCCGCGGCGTACAGATCGGATCGGGACCGCGCACTGCTGTGTTGTCACGGTAGTTCGCGCTCCCTCAGGCTGAGCTTGTCGCAGTCGGACGTCGCTGTTCGTACACCTTACGCCTCGCAGACTCGCAGACCCCTTGGCGGATTTTGGAAGACATGCTGGTGTGTGTGAAGATGCTCTGTCGCGCTCGCCCGGAAGGAACGGATAGTCGCTGATGTGGTGAGGAGGCTGTCCGCTGACGTCGCTTCCCTGCCTGCTCAGACGGACGACTGCCCACTCGAGCCTCTCCTCCACGGACGGGCTGCCCAGAGTGTCTGCTGGCTGTGCGCCCGTGTGCGCGCGGCGGTACGTTGCCCTGTCTGTCAGTGGCCGCGCCACCCACTACTACTGCCAGCCGCCTCCGAGAGCACTCATACTTATTTCCAAGGTGCACGTGTGCTCTGAAACATCTCCGTGCATTCACCACTGACTGCGAATTGGATCGCCTGCCAGCGGACCCGCCTTCCCAGCCCTTCTGGCTCTGCGCGCCCATCGGAGTGCTCTGGGAAGCCGGCGCGACCACACACATAAGACGGCTCGCCCGCCCTGTGTCCCCTCCCCACCATGGCTTCCTCCCCCCAGACCACGCCCGCTCCTACCCGCACCGCGTCCGAGTCGTCCTGGGCCGCGTCCAGAGGGCCTGTCCCACCGCACGCCCACGCACACGGCCGCTGCCCCGTCACCGGCGCCGAGTCGCACGACTACTGCCCGCCCCAGGCCGACGACTCCCGCTCGCCCTGCCCCGCCCTCAACACGCTCGCCAACCACGGCTACCTCCCGCGCGACGGCAAGTGCATCACCCCCGCCGTCCTCGTCCACGCCCTCCGCGCGGGCTACCACCTCTCCCTGCCCCTCGCCTGGTTCCTCACCCACGGCGGCTTCTACCTGCTCGGCCAGCGCCGCAAGCGCATCTGCCTCCGCGACCTCAGCCGCCACAACTGCATCGAGCACAACGCGTCCCTCGTCCACCCCGACGTCGCCTACCGCGACGAGTACGCCCCCGTCGACGTCCACCTCCACATGCTCGAGGACCTCCTCCGCTACTCCACCGACGGCGCGCTCATGACGCCCGACGACGTCGCCCGCGTCCGCGTCGTCCGCGAGGCCGCGTACGCCGTCCCCATGGACAAGGTCCACGCGGAGATCGCCCGCGGCGAGATGGCCATCGTCCTCCAGCTCTTCAACAACCCCGACAACCTCTCCCCGCCCGCGCCGCGCGCCCCGCTCCTCACGCGCATCCGCCGCGTCTTCGCTCCCCAGCCGCCCGCCCCGCCGCCACCCGCCCCACTCCCCGGCGTGCCGAACCACATGCTGCGCGTCTGGATGCACGAGGAGCGCCTTCCCGACGGCTGGACGCCGTACCACCGCGTCGGCCTCCTCCACACGATCCGCATGGCGACGCGCCTCCGCCGCTCCATGCGCGCGCTCCACACCGAGCAGCGCAAGGCCGGGCGCACGCGGTCCAAGACGATCGACGGCGCCGTCGCCGCGCTCATCCCTGCACTTACGATCGCCACGCCGGACGCGGAGGCGCGCAGGCCCTCCGTGGTCGTCGAGACAGGCGACGTCGGCGGAGAGCCGTTGGCCGACGAACGTGCCAACAAGACTACGGTTGATTCGCCGACGGCGCTGGATACCCCGAGGAGCACCATGACGCGGAACAGCACCCTCGCGTCGAGTGCGTCATCCGATGGCTTGCGCACGCCCCTGGACGTGCCCCTCCCCGCCCCTGCTCTCAGCGGCGGCGGCGTCAAGGAGAGCGTGTATCCGGTGCGCGAAGAGGAGGAGGGTATCCTCGACATGATCAGGGAGCGCGCCCGCATGATCGAAGTCGTTGAGTGAGCGGTGTCGGCAGGTCTCTCTCCTACTATGCGCGGCTTAATTATGTGTATGTACTCTAAGTACTCTAATTACAGATTTGCGAATAGTACGACTCTGATTTGGATCTCAGAGTGCTCGTATTGATCCTGTACAGATGTCTGGACGGCAGCATCACTTACGGTAAGTAGAGCTTCAAGGCGATCGGTGCGATGTACGCCACACGATGCTGAGAACCCCCGCCCTATCCTCATCAGCTCCACAGGTTCAATCGGTGCCCTGATAGAGCTCGCCAGAGCTTCCTACGCCGTTCTTGTGCACGGCAGGCCGGCAACATCGACTCAAATGATAATCTAGCAGTTGAATGTACCAAAGAAAGGCTTTCCAGTGAGCTGGGCTCCGTCAACCCGTCTGTTCTGCACACACTTACTCAGTACTAGTGCTATGAATACTAGTGCTGCTTCCAGAGTCGCTCAAAAGGCTGGATGCTGTCGCGGCCTCTCCGTTGACACAGCGGCGCGTCATTGCGCATCCACGACGAGCGACCTGCGATATGTCCCTTCTCGACGGGACGATATCGAAGACGTCGAACATTATCGCCCCGGCGGCTTCCATCCAATACTCATTGGCGATACATTCTCCCAAGGACGTTACAAAGTCGTCCACAAACTCGGCTCCGGCGGTTCGTCCACCGTCTGGCTCGCGACCAGCGAGACAGCCCAGGCGTGCTCGTCACGCTCAAAGCCATGCGCGCCGCCATCTCGTCCAGAGACCCGCGCGAGATTCCAGAGATCGTCGTCCCCACAACTCTGCGGGCCACGCCATCCCTCTCTGACGGTATCCAGGCTGTGATCGACGATTTCGTGGTGCACGGCCCGAACGGCACTCATCGGTTCCTCGTCTCTCCGTTTGCTCGCCCGAGCGTCCTCGCCATGTCAGATTCTCCGGGGCGGGTTGTCGGGAGTCGTCGACTCCGTGGAGATTTGGCCAGAAGTGTGGCTAGGCAGACGGCGGCGACTGTCCATCGCATGCATGACGCAGGATTCGTCCACGGTGGTGAGCTTTCCTTCGTTACATTATTCGCGGTCAATAACCTATATTCCACTCAGATCTCACGACGTTGAACATCCTCTTTCGTGTGAAGGAACACGTCCTTCGCTGGTCGGACTCACAAGTCTACGCACACCTCGGGGTGCCCGAGACGGAGGAGGTCAGAACGCGGGGCGGCGAGCCGCGCGGCCCTCATACACCTCCAGAGCTCGTCGCACCCATCCAGAACTCCGCCATCACCGACGCGTCCTTTCTTCAGGAAAACGTTGTCCTCATTGACTTCGGCCAGTCCTACGCCATTGCCTCTCCACCAACAAATCACCAACCTGGCACAGCAATACACTACCTACCACCGGAGATGCGCTTTGAAGGACGTGTAGGCCCCGAGGCGGGCATGTGGAACTTGGGATGCGCGATCTTCGAGACCCGCGCGGGGTTCCCGCTCTTCGAGTCGTTCTTCGGGAGCGACGCGGGTATCCTCAGACAGACTGTTGAGGTGCTCGGAAAGTTGCCCGATCCGCGGTGGGGGGCCTTTCGCGAGCGTGCTCTGTGGTTTGAGGAAGATGGAGAACTGAGGAGCACCCAGGCGCAGCAGCTCCCTGGTGGTTGCGTCGCGTCTTCCGAGAGCTCTATCCAGGCGAAGCTGCGCTCGATCGGCAGGTTGGACGAGCCGCCCTCCGTCGATGAGGGCCCTATGACTGAGAGGCATGGGCTGCCGCTGGAAGAGGAAGAGATCGGTCTGTTGGGCGATCTGCTCGTGAAGATGTTGAGGTATCAGCCCGAGGAGAGACTGCCGATGCGAGAGGTATACGACATCCGTGGTTCACGTTCCGAGGCGAGTGCACACTGGGTATCCGAATGGAGCTTGTTTACGATCGTGTCATTGCAACAGCCGGAGTGTATGCCTTGCATGATCTCATCGTTGGCGGATGACTCTCGCGTGAGTGACACCGTCAGCTTGCTCCGTCCACAATCCACAATGGTCCGGACGTGACGTGACCCTGGCAATGCATCCTGAAGAATCTGTAATCTTCCTCAAGCTCAAGAATGGTCCCCGGCGTTGTCACGCACACACAAGTCTCTGATCGATACCGCATGTGCCTCGCAGTAGAGAAAGGAGTATATGCTTCCGCTGTGGGCCTGCGGCTGCTGGAGCCGCCGCCCAGGTGACAGGACTGTCCGCGGAGGCTACGAAGCGGCGTCGTACGTCTCTGTGTCCATCGGAATCCGTCAAGATGTCGGTGTCTTCCTGTAAACAGAGACAGGTCAGTGAGGGGCGCGCACGGTGGCTGGTGCGACGGGGTCGTGCTATCTGGCCTGCCCACGGGACACCTCCCTGCGCCCGCGCCCCGTACTCTCCTTGTCGCTCGAGCCGCTCTCGCGCTGAAGGATCCCGCGTTCGTGTACGACCTCGAGCAGCTTCTGGCGATTCTCTGCCTGCTCGGATTGGGGCGCCCGGTGGCTGTGTCGATTGCGTAGATGCGCTGCCGTTCGCAGAGCGTCATCAAACGTGACATCGCCCAGGAGCTCGTCTCCGCGCGCGGCGCAAGAGTCGAGCCCTGCGAATGGAGAAGAGCGAGGTTAAATCAGTGGGTGGGAATGGAGGCGAGGACACTCACCGAGGCATTTGACTCCGTCTGGGGTGCCGTACTCTTGTGCATGTACCGCTGAGCCATTTCTTGTCGACGGCTATCATGGCACGTAGCCTGGGTGTCCAGCAGACTGAGGCGGGCGCGCCGGTGTTGAATGTTCCAATCTGAGAGCGAGCGATACTGCTCACATACGATACCAGGAAACGGTAGCACCCCTACTACGTTCGGCACTCCCACCGCGTACGCACGCAGGTATGCAGTCACAGATTGGGTGAGCGTCGGCGGGCTATCCGACTGCCAGTTGCTATAAGCAGATTGTGTCTCGTCGATCCTCCAATGTTGTACGGCTCGTGCGCCCGCATATGTAAAGGTAGGTGCACCCAGGCGATCTGCCGGCGCTCGTGGCCCCTCAGATATCTCCTCCTGCACGCGAATACGCGGTCATGCGCACGTTTGCAGCGTTGACGGCATCCAACGCGTGACGCCCAGAGACTGGAAGCGACGATACGAAGCAGAGGGGTCAAGGAAGGCGTTCACAAGATGTGATACAGCAGGACTTTGCAGTCGACAGCCTTGTCACGAAGGCGGCACACATTATGCACGTACACGTACGGCGCGTGCAGCCTCCTTACGCCATATGATCGCGCGTGCGACCCTCGGGGCGTGCTGGAAGCGTGCGGCAGATGGATGCGCGGAGGCTTGACGAGCGTAAGTACGTGCGATGCGAGGCTGGGCGTGGTGGGATGGGAGGTGGAGGGAGGGGCGGCAGGGGAGAGGGGATCCATGTGCCGATGATCTGGGTGCGATGAGGATCCGCTCGCCCTGCCCGCCCTTGGCGCCCCATATATCCTCCCTCCCGCCTCCTGCTCGCGTGCCTCCAATACCCCCACCACCGGCCGACGATGGTCCTCCAGCAAGACCCGACGTCGCAGAACACGCCCGCGTCCCTCCCGCCGTCCGTCTTCACCCTCCCCCACACCGCCCAGCTCGAGGCCCTCTACACCATCATCCGCGACAAGACCACCAGCCGCGGCGACTTCCTCTTCTACTCCGACCGCATCATCCGCCTCCTCGTCGAGGAGGGCCTCAACCACCTCCCGGTCGTGCCCAAGACCGTCGAGACCCCCACCGTGAGTCGTCCCGCGCGCAGCCGGATCGTTGACGAGTGACGCTTGGATGCGCGCGATGCACAGGGCGCGACGTATGAGGGCGTAGGCTTCGAGGGGCACATATGCGGCGTGTCGATCCTGCGCGCGGGCGAGGTACGTCGGCCCTCTCAGTGTGTGTGCGCGGGCCGCGGGACGCTGACCTGCGGCGAGCAGGCGATGGAGGCGGGCCTGCGGGAGGTCTGCAGGAGCGTGCGCATCGGCAAGATTCTCATCCAGAGGGTGACTATCCGTTCGTACATCGCGTGCGCTACGTGCTGAGGCTCTGTGGCCGTGCATAGGACGAGGAGACGGCGCAGCCCAAGCTGTTCTATTCCAAGGTGCGTGCGCGCCCGCATATCGTACACTCGGTCGCTCAATGACGCCATGAACAGCTCCCGCCGGATATCGCGCATCGGTATGTGCTGCTGCTCGACCCCATGCTCGGTGCGCGATTCGCTACTCTGCCGCGTTCGCGGAGGTGAGCTCACGAGTGACCGTAGCTACGGGCGGGTCGGCGATCAAGGCGGTGGAGGTGCTCATGGAGGACGGCGTGCCGGAGGACCGCATCATCTTCATCAACCTGGTGGGTGTCTGCGAGCATTGCGTGCGGGGGTGGCGCTGAGACACACGTCGACACGCACACACGACAGATCTCGTCGCCCGAGGGCCTCAAGACGTTCTGCACGAAGTTCCCGGCGCTGCGGGTGGTGAGTGTGGCCGCTGCGTGCGCGTGCGCGTGCGCGAGTTGACATCTTCGGTGCGCGGCGCATGCAGATTACGGGCTGGATCGATCAGGGATTGAACGAAAAGGCATACATCGTGCCCGGGCTGGGCGACTTTGGCGAGAGAAGGTAGGTGCGCTGTGGTTCTGAGCCCGGCAGCAGCAGCTGACGCCGACGGCTCGGCCGGGACTGTCAGGTATTGCGAGTAAGCGCATCTACTCAGAGGTTCAGAGACGATATGGCTGGGCAGGGTTTGAGGAGAGAGAGCACGGTGTGTTATGTAAAATACAAGCTAGCTGGAAGCAATGCAAGGCGATGTGAGAACGAAGCGAGGGCGTGTGTGAGACAGGCTGGAGACCGGGCGGGAGTGTTCTCAAGCGCTGGACGACTGCATATGACTGCGGTGGCACGTACGATCGCCCGTCTCTTCCCTCGTCCCAGCAGCCCTGCAGCCGATCAGTGCCCTCATATTAACTTAACATCCCACTCTTTTCTCTCTTCGCCACGACTGCGACTCCCTCCCCACCATGTCCATCGCCGCCGCCCAGCCCCTCGCCCCCCGCCGCCGCCGCTACTCTGGCGCCAACGCCGTCGAGATCATCAAGTCCCCCGCCGTCTCTGCGCCCCCGCCCCGCCCAAAGTCCACGCCCCCCACAGAGCGCCCCCGCCAGCGCCGCCGCCAGGTCCCCGACGCCGAGCCCGACGACGAGAAAGAGGACATGCAAATTGACCGCGACCACGACGCGGACTCGGACGACGCCTCCGAGTCCGCGTCCGACTCTCCCCACGACCACGACCACCAAAACTCGTCCGCACACGCCGCCGACCGCCCCACGCGCCCGCTGCCCCAGAAAAACAGGAGCAAGATGGCGAACACACCCCAGACGCAGCAGACGAAGAACCCGATGTACCAGACCGCCAACCCGCACATGCTCCCCGTCCAGGCGCACGTACCCAAGGGCACCGCG